TCTGAATATCCAATTAAACTTTCATGACCTTGATACTTTATACACAAATTTTTAGTTTTTATAAGATACCTAATAATCCTCTTCAGCTGATTAACATGATGTATACCAGGATTATTAATATATCTACTTAACAGATTTACACCATATGAAATATCTGGTCTAGTTGCTGTTGATAAAAACAATAAAGACCCTATGGCCTCTCTATAAGGAAAATCAATCTGCTTATTGTCAACATTTTTAGTTAACTGAACATTTACATCAATTGGTGTACTGCTTGAGTATGCTGTACTCATGTTAAACTTACTTATTAATTGTTCAATATATTGTCTTTGACTAATACAAACAGAATTATTATCCTTTAAAATTTCTAAGCCAACAAATCGACTTAAAATTAACTCTTTAATATCAAATCCTTGCTTTAAATAGTCAACAACTTGATATTAAATTTGATGACTAATATAAAATTTGACTGCGACATTATTAAAGCATCGTCTACATATAATATTAGCAAAGCTTTAATACCATTAAAATTGCCTACAAAGACACAATTGTCTGCTTGTGACTGAACAAAACCAAACTTAACTAGAAAATTTGTAAATTTTTGATTCCAGCAACGAGATGCCTGCTTCAGGCCATACAGGGATTTATTTAATTTACATATTTTATTTGCTGGTGCTTTCACTCCATCTGGAATTTCCATATAAACATCCTCTTCTAAATCTCCATATAAAAAAGCTGTCTTAACATCTAATTGCCTTAAGTTCCAATTATATTCAGCAGAGATAGACAACAGTATTCTTATTGATTCATATCTTGTAGTAGGTGAAAAAATTTCATTGTAATCTATCCCTTCAATTTGAGTGAAACCACGGGCACAAAGTCGAGCTTAATATCTTTATACTTCACCATCTTTGTTTCTTTTAATATTAAATACCCATTTTGATGTTATAGTTCTTTGGTTTTCATTATCCACAAAACTCCAAGTGTTATTAGTGCGATGAGCTTCTAATTCTTCATTAATGGCCTCTAGCCACAACTCACTCTCTTCGCAGTTAATTGCTTCATTGTAACTTGCAGGTACATTCAGTTCCATTAAATTTGCCTCAAAAACATTATGTCTACGCGGACGCAAAGTAATATTTGAATGATCCAAATCTGAAAGTTCAATTTCCTGCGAAGGTTCATAAGTCTCATCATTTTCATCAATGGCAGTATGTGTACTTTCATCACTCTCAGTCAACTCTGTATTATCCAACTCCTCTTCAACATTTTGTTCATTATCATCATATATTAAAATTTCAGCTTCATTCTTATTTATTTCAGGACTTTTATGTTCATTGAAAATAACATTTCTTGATATTGTAATTCTTTTTGTAATTGGATCATACATTTTGTAGTTTGAATTATCATAACCAACTAACATCATCTTACAGCTTTTACTGTCAAGCCTCTTTCTCAACTGCCCAGGCACATGTACATATCCTTCACATCCAAACACCCTGACATGATCTAAACAAGGTTTTATACCACTCCACAACTCTATAGGGGTAATATTTGGTGTCTGACTTGAAGATGTGCGGTTTAACAAATAAACAGCACAATTGACTGCTTCTGCCCAAAGATAAAGTGGTACCTTACGAGCATAAAGCATGGATCGAGCACTTTCAAACAATTGTCCTAATTTCTCTTTCGGCTCGGCCATTTTGTTCAGGTGTATATGGTGCAGTGAGCTCATGAGTAATGCCCTCATGGTCAAGATATTCTTTAAATTCTTTGCTTAGGTACTCTCCACCATTATCAGTGTGTAGTATGCGTACACTATGTGAAAACTTATTTTTAATCATTGAATTATATTTCTTGAAATAGTATAAAACATCACATTTATTCTTTAAAAAATACACATACCTGAAGGTTGTAGCAGCATCTTTAAATATTACAGCATATTTCATACCTTGTACAGATGGTACACTGAACGGTCCACAGACATCGCTGTAGATAACATCACCTGGTTGCTGTGGTCCTCGGTTTGATTTCTTGAATGGATGACGAGCATGCTTACCATAAGCACAACCCTCACATACAAACTTGTCACAGTCTGATAAATCCACACCAGTAATTACATTGTTCTTGCACATTTTCTGTATTTCTTTTACATTTATATGTCCTAGACGTTCATGCCATGTTTTAAGATCCAATTTTTGTACTACATTGCAAACTGGATTTTGAAGTGTTATTATGTTTAACTCATATAGATTGTTGCTTTGCAAAGATGCACATAACACTACTTTGTTATCCTTGTATATTAAAGCATCTGTATGTTTCTTTACAATATTATAACCTTGTCTTGTCACTGCTCCTTCAGAAAACAGGTTTCTCCTCAGCTTTGGTACATAAAGAACATTTCTTAAGATACTTGTCTCCCACTGCCCATTAACACACTTGTTTATCAAAACATTTCCTCGACCAGCCACTTCTATAGCTTCTTGGTTCCCGAGTTTCAGTGGAGATCCAGTATACTCATACAGTTCAGCAAAATTTTCTCGCTTAAAACACATGTGAGCTGAAGCACCGCTGTCTAATATCCATTTTAAACCATCATCATTTTTCAATTCTGAAATTGCTACATGGAATGCTAGCATGTTCTTACCTCCATGTTGTTTTTGTTTTGGAGCACGGCAGTCTCTAGCAAAATGACCACGTTTACCACAGTTGTAGCATGTAAAGCGATGTGCTTTTTCATTTGACTTTTCAGTTGAGTTTTCATTTGATTCTTTGTTAGTTTTCTTCAATGGAACACTTTTCTTTTTCATATTTTGTTTTGCAACTAATAAAGCAATTTCATTGTCATCTTCTATACTCAAACTGGCCTCCTCATCAAGCAAACGAGCTGTTAGGTTAATGACTGTTTGATTCTTTGGATCAAGCGACATCCAAGCCTGGCGAACAGATCTGTACTTGGAAGGTAGTGAACTCAAGATTTTTGTTATGATTGCAGTTTCACTAATTGTTTCTCCGCTTTCTTTAAGTTGCTTAGCCAAACTCTCAACTTTAGCAATATGCTGAGCTATACTGTCTGTTGGTGACATTCTGTATTGATAGAATCGCTCATGGATCATCATTTTAGTCATCTCAGATTTCTGTTCATAAATGGATTCAAGCTTGGTCATTACTTCTAGTGCTGTATCACAATTTTCGATGAGTGCTATTTGATTCAAATCCATGGCAGACGTTATCACGAACATCGCCATGCCATCATCTTTATTCCATTGAATCGCCTTTCCATCCGGCTTTGGCGTGTTAATATCTAGCCCCTTGGCACGCAGGGCACATTTAATTTGGAATTTCCACTGTTTAAAATTCGTTCCGTCGAATTTTTCCAAATTTGTCTTTCCGAGCTCCATTTTTGTTCAAAGAAAAAAAAACGTTTCTTTTTTCGAAAATTACAAACAACTTATGTTTTCTCTGCTCTTTGTTTATCACCACTTTTACATTAACGTGGGCCTGGGCCCATAACCTGTTTGAATCAGGTTAATAAACAAGATTTCTGACACAACTTAAACGTTTTATTTTAATAAAAGTTATAAGAAAAATTTTACAACGACATGACAGTCGCCGTATTCAGAATGCACGCACAATGCCGCCACCTAGCGTTACAATGGAAAAATAAAAACAAGACAAAGATAAACAAAACATATTCAAACTCCTTTTATAAAATTTCATCCAATACATTATTCATTAAAATAACGCAAATCCATTGACTAATTTTAAAGATTTATGTTTTGCGTATATATATATAGGGATAATGATAATCTTAATTTATCTTCTCAAAGTTCTCTTCTTGTTGCACCTACCATACTCTCTCTGCATCACCCTAAGGTTGACTGGTGAGAATGCCTACGGCATTAAGTCCGCCTATGTAATGTTTTGTTGCATGAAGTTTAAATAAATAAATAAATAAAATAATGGGATAGAGAAAGCGACTTTGTTTTATACTATGTACAGACTACAAAATGTCGCTCAATTTGTAAATATATTAACTTAATTACCGAGGGTCAATTGACGACAAACGACCAGACTTATAGCCTGCTGGTTAGTGGATGTTGGGTGAATAGTGGTTCATGGACACACGCTGCCGCGCTCTATGACTCCAACCTACCCAACCCGCCCTCCTACCTATTAACAACGTGTTGCTGGCCTTCTGGTGCTAAGGTTTGAGAATAATGAGATTGGACTGTTTTTAATTATTTTCATGACCCGTTCCGCATCTTCTATCATGGAATCAACGGAGTCCCCGAATAGTTCTCGCATTTTATCTTTGGTGTCTTCGTCAATGGCACAATTTTAGTTTGTAGCTCAATCTACAAACCAAAATTGTGCCATTATCAGCTAAAAAGGCCTTGATTTGCTTAACATTGACCGTCGCACCTTCTATCTTCGCTCTATAACGGTCAAGGGTCGTATTTCTCGGAGAGGTGTGCTCCTCGATCGCATCCGCTGTAACAACCAAGTCAGCGTATTGGGCAGACTTCATGCTCATCCCCTCTTTCAGAAGATTTCGATAGTCCTCTAGAGAACATTGCTTTGGAATATATCATTCTATCTCCCCTACCTATTGTTGGTGTTAGACCTTTAATTAAATTGAGTACAAGTATTCAAGGGAATAAGAGAATTGGAGTTATAGTCGTGATGATATACGTCCTATGTCAAAAAAGATATAAAGTAATACGCATTATTATATTACTCACATCAATTTCAGTATCGACTAGTTCCCATGGCCTTGTTTGTGATATTAGAATTATTTTCGCTCCATAATTGAATATTGAGTTGCCGTGAATCCTGAAATGATAATGTAAAATGTGTGAATGTGTGCGGTGTATAAATAATATATCGATTATCAAAAAAATATTTTTAAAATATTTAAATTTATGTAAAGAACCAAAATTTAAATATTATTTGTTAAATTAAATGTTTATTACAGATTATAAACTTGTTACGCTAGCCTAAACATTCACAACTGTGATCACAAAGTAAACAGTGGAAATAAGTATTTTAGTATCACCTATGTTAACGTATAAAGCAGGCAGAGATTCCAGTTCGGAGAATCCAAGATGAATTCGGTTGAGATTAAACTTGGACCGTGGCACCAAAGTATGGATGTTCAACATACTATGGTTCCAGGGACCAAATTCACTCCCCCCGCCAACATGGTAGATTCTTCGTACAGACGACTTCCAGGTTTGTCTCTTCTTTATTCTCATTTGAAAATCTGTAAAAATTCATGATTATTTTATTAATAATGTCCCGATATCTTACCTTGTAGAGAAAGATGCCTCGAACAAATGTGGTGTGAACAGCTGCCCTTGTGGTATACATTATCATGTGCTTCTGCTTGCAGTACACCCATCACCATTGCTGAGATGAGCTGTGAATTGTAGAAGTAAATAATTAAAGTTATGCTTTTATGAACTACCATTGAAACAAATGGGTCCTATTTCGCATGTAGAAAATTTACTGGAGTAGTTAATATTGATTTGTTTGCGTATGATCTTTGTTTTGTGAGGGGAGAATCACTAAATCCCGCCCAGGGCAGGGCGGGAGGGAGTGTCAGACTCTTACTGACTAAAAACCCTCCGTCCCTACTCTTGGTCTTGGCCGAGGCTGCGGTGCCTCTTTGCGTTGACCCGCAAGCCCGGCTGAACATCGGCCCTACAGGGCCCCTCTGTGGTGGTATATTAGCTCTATGAGGCGCACACAGAACGCTACATGCCGTACGCTAGGGTTAGTTCTGGTCGGGCGGCGAATTACCCTTACTCGTCATCTGAAGACCCGTATGCTCCACCGCTTCATCTGGGTGGTCCTCACAATGATGACACTCGGACGTCTCCTCCCACCGGATCCGAAACAAGAACCAACCGAAGCTGCTGTGCACGGTAAGCACCTGCGTCAGGCGGAAGGTGAGAACGCTGTGACGTCTCTCGAGCCACTCCTCAAAGAGGGGTCTTACCGCTGCTATACCAGAGTGCCCGGCCCGGTTGCAACAGATGTGCCGCGTACTAATGTGGGGTGGCAGAGGAACTTCGCCCCGGCGACACGCGTCTGTCGCATCAAATCTAAACTATATGATCATATGGTTTAGATTTATCGCGGAGAAATGTATTGTTGACATTAAGCATAATTTTAAATTGTTAACAATAATTTTATTACCAACAGTTGGTTTGTAGCAGCAGTAGTGTCATGATGAATTTGGGTGAGAATAAAATTTGGTGGACAGCAACAGAACATCGAAAGTTAATTCACGCTTTGTTACAGTCCGCCTTATTCAGTCTCCCCTTTGGCCTTCCTTTTCCCCCCGTCTCAATAAATTGACTTTTTTATGATCTGTGAACATTGCGAATTTATTAGAAAAAAAAAGGTTTTAGACCATCATTTGTCCAACGTGTGTTGGACAAATGATGGTCTAAAACCTGGATGGTTGATGACAAGAACTATCAAAAATTTTATTTGTACACAGTTTTGAAGTCAACTTTTCAGACGCTCCAATTTCACAGATAGTTCATTTCAGTAACAACTTTGCTTGCTACATTTGCTGCATATGGCTAATTTTTGTTTCTTGTGTGATACTTGAAAATATATAGACGTCAATTTAGTGATATCTCACCCAGTTGACAATTAATCTCAAGCATGTTTAGAGTTCAATATAAACGTAGCTGATGCGAGATTGGCTGACCCACACCTACATAATCTCGCACACCGTAAACCACCATTTACGTTGAGCTAAGAATTGTAAGAATATCATTTGGATTATTATAACATTTCTTGTAGATAAATATTTTTATTATTACAGAAGTTTCTGACAGCAACTACTTAATGATTAATCACCATTTCAGTCTTACCCACGTGAAATTAAAATTTGGTGGACGGTAATAAAACGTGGAAATTAATATACACTTTATTACTGTCAGCCTTTTTAAGCCTCCCCTTTTATCGTCTTTTATCCACAATGTATTATATTTCATCTACATTGCAATTGCTCCACTTATCGTTGGAATAAGTAACTATTTTTTTATGCAGTAAGATTGCATTGATTCACGATACGTCAATTTTGAATACTTTCATATAGAAGATGTACATAAATTCATTAACACGTCGACTTACTTTCATGTGGTTGATTACGACTTAAAAACATTATAAAAGTCATCTGTATAATTTAATAACAGGTAAAAACCACGTCATAAGGGGTAAGTAGGCAAAGAAAAAATATGCTTTGTAGGCGTCATGTTAATTAGGAACATACAAATAAGGTACAATTTTGGATGGATGCAGATTTAGACATTTTGCAGACGTTTTGATACGAACGGTCGGCTGCGGATGCCGTCCGTTTGGAATGGGTAACGTGGATTTCAACCCGTTTGAGAAAACATCGCTGAATTTTGTCCATTTTAATGGCATATCACACGTAATGATTATGAAAGTCTTCAACATTGAGGTAAAAGGTGCTACAGAAATAATATGGAACTTGAAATTAAAACCGTAAGTTCTGTATGAGTAGACAATGTATGCATTGATTTAGACACGTAGTACATAACCTTTGTTTACCAAATTTTGTATCTATTGGAGGTTTACTATTTATTTTACATAGATTGGCAGCGATCGACAACGATTGGAAAATTTGATACTGCCTTTTTATCAGGGTCTTCAGCAATGGTCTTGCGACAGTCGAATTGAGGGAAAGTATACCCACTGCGCTGTGCCATGTAAATGCGGACTCTAAAGATCGATAAATTTTGATGGATTGTATATAGTTTTCAATGTATTTCAACAGATAGGTCTCACAGCTCTTTAGCTTTATTCCAGGCACAGGCCACTGGCTAATAATAAAGCATTGATAATTTATCTTTTTAAGGAGGTAGGAGGTAGGGGTTAACGAGCCGATCGATTAAATTATTGAACTTTATTCTCATTAATTGTATCACTATCGCAATAAAAAAATCAAATGTTTTGCTACATTATTTTTACACCGCAGACATTGTCTACCATTAAGGTCATCTAAATGACAACACTGTATCTTTTTTTTCCCGTAGATTTAGATCATAGTTACATCATAACATTTTATTGAATCGAGTACATATAAATAAAACCATACAAATAATATATTTTATCACTTGCGATTGTGAAATTTTATTAAATTTAATTTACTACACACAAAATTTTCAGTGCACAAAACGTCTTAGTCGCAAGCATTTTCTTTAAGACGTGACCGTTATCAAAACTTTTGAATTACAACACAGTTGTAACATTGTTGCCAGTTTACTGTACTAGGCTAGCAGGCAAGCAGGAATCCAACGACGACAAACCACGATGAAATCGGTTGAGATTGAAATTGGTCCGTGACGCCAAATTATTGACTCTGACACACAATTTGGTTCCAGGGACCATTTTCACTCCCACCAATATCTTGCCAGATTTGATGCTTCACTGTTGTTTCTTCATGTAGATATGTAACTAAAAACTTTTAAAAGTTCCTGATTCATTCAACCTAAATTAGTATGCATTAGAAATAATTAAGTGGTAACTTACCTTATCGATAAGGAAAGCGCTTGATATACAGTGTTGCTGCTAGATTGGCTGACAGTCTCGTTCACAGTCATGCAGTAATGTTAAATAGCCCGTTGGCTACTGTTTCAAAGATGCATGAGCTGTAAATTAAAAAAATAAAACTTATATTAACTGTGTCATAGAAAGTTTTTTATTTAAAATAAAATTGAGCCATTAATAATTCTTATACTACTATTCTATAGAGAGGAACGAGTAATTCAGTCATCAGTTTCATACAATAGACGAAAACAAAACCTGTTTTCGTCTACCTTACCTAAGAACACTTGTCATCAAAAAGTCGAAAACCCTCTTTAATAATTTTTTAACAAATTAAAACACCTTATTTAATTCAAAAGTGTTTTCATTCTATGAAAAAAAACGATAGTAATAGCTGGCAATCTAGCCATTACAATGTAGTAAGCGAAAATTTAAAATTTGAAATAAGAATTTCGTTTATTCATCCTCTAAATAAAATGAATCACGATTTATTTGGAGCTTTTTTGTGTGACTTTAATCCGTCTGAAATAAGTATTATTTTATAAAACATGGATACTTTCCCCTAATAGTAGCCGCCTAAGTGATGACATTGCTGGATTCTGGACTTAATTAGCTGTTGTAGTTCAAACATTGCTTCTAAGTCATTAATTCCAAGAGTCTAAAACCGCTATCGAGAGATTGATATCTTTACGCACCGTTCTGGATCTGGCAGGAATCGGGTCACTTCTGAGAGAGGTGATCGATTTATTGTAACAACTTCCATGCGAAACCAGTGCCTTAATGCATTTCAACTACAGCGTGTTAAAGGAACGTGTACTGGTAGCACGCAAGTCAGCAAATGGGCCGAAATCAACTGCAGACCACCGAAAAGCTGCGCTTTGATTTTGCACTTGACCACCTAAATTGGTCATACCTCAAATGGAGCAAAGTTCTCTTCTCTGTTGAATTTATAATCATACTCTATGGTAACGACGGTAGGAACAAGGTTTACGGTCTACATCTACTAATCTTTACAAATCATAAAATTGTAAGGTGCTTTGATTTTTTTGATGAAAAGTGTATAATAATTAAATATTGAGCTGGATAACTTGAGTCTTCATTCTTCTCAGTTGACTGTACTGTACTGCTTTGTTCCAAAAGTGAATCACTGTTACAATGTACTCTACAATGTATTAGATACAGTTATTCAATTGGACAAAAGCCAAACAGTATGGTGACTTATTCCTGTATCAGCGGAATTTCTTCGTTTAGTTTAGTTTATATTTATTAAAATTGAATAACCATGATGAAAACAATAATTTACACATACGTATTTTTTCTATTTACGTGTCCTTTGGTTCTTCTATCATTAAAACGTGTTGGTATTTGTTCGCGTCGAACTATTTTATAAAAAATAGTCATAACCCGCGGTTTACCACATATTGCCTACGTTTCGCGTAGCTGTGTAGCATCCTAGCAATAAAAGAATGATTCAAATTGATTTTGTAGAGTTTTAACAGTCAAATCAATCAATCAATCAATTCTTCTTTAGAATATTAGTAAAGAGAAAATAAACGTTATTATATTTCTTATGATTTATGCAACTTTTAGTGTTGATAATTTAATAACAGACAATACTATAATATAATTCACGGAGTGATTGCAACATTTGCCCAGTACAAATAATTTGAACACACCTTATATAGGCATGTTCCTTTCTTTACACTCTATCCTAATCACACTGTGGAACCTGTAGTTACATTTTATACCCCAAATTCATAACATCTCAGACATACTCTATGCGTAAAAAATCCTTTAAATAAAGATAAAAAACATTAAATAAAAAAATAACACTTTAATTTAACGTTCAAAATTCTTCGATTGATTTTTGGGTGGGTAAACTTAAAGATGCTTTCAAATTTGTATCATAACCCAGCCAGGGTAGCAAAATCTACTTAGAAACTAAACTGCCGCATTACTAATACGGACCTCGGGGTTCGATGTTCGGCTCAGCTATTCCATTGGGCTGAAGAACTTATTTGCGATGGTATTTACTACTCCTATTAGGTCAGCTGCGGGCTAGCTCGCTTGGTATTAGTCGGGGAGGATCTTATGGGGACATTGTGGTACTTTCGAGGCTTGCTAGGTTTCGGAGCCGAGCGCACGAGGGACTGACTTACATGACATAAAGTTTCTATCAAGTCTGTTATTCGTTGTTCCAACAACTCTGGTTGAGACTAAACGTGAGTCAAACACCATCAAAACTCGGATTTCAACACAGTTTTGATATTGTTTGCTATTTTCAGACTCTCCCATTTTATAGTACAGCTGGCTAGCAGTAAGCAAATCCAACGCTGACAAGATGAATTCGATTGAGATTAAACTTAGTCCGTGATACCAAAGTATGGATTTAAAAACATATTTTGGTTACAGGGACCAATTTCACTCCCATCGATACTTTGGCAGTATTTTTCATAGTGATTCCACAAGGTTGATTGTGCTTGTATGATGAATATATGTAAGAACGCATGCTTCTATACGTACATATATAAAAATAATTTTGTGACAACTTACCTTATTGAGAAAGAAATCTCGATCAAATGTGACACTTTGTTCTGTTAACCACAATTACTGTTGCTCCAGTGGCTGACAGTCTACCCACATAGTCCAACACTGTCTAGCTGTGAATTGAAATTATACTTAATGAGTATATCAAAAAGTTGTGATTTTATTATGATAATTATAAACCAGTATTTTATTAAGTTTTAATTATAATGAAATTGTGCGTAAGGCAGACTTTTCACTGTTCACTGCTTCTTTAAGGCGATTTCGTAGTTCATCATTATCGTCATAAGCCTATAAGTGCCCACTGCTGAGCAAAGGCCTCTTCTTGCACGGAGAAGGTAAGAGCATTAATCACCACGCTTGCTCGATGAGGATTGGCAATTTCAAACAGATAATTAGAAATTCCAGAAAGAATTAGAAAGTCCAGGTTTCCTCACGATGTTTACCTTCACCGTATGTCAGTGGTGTCTAAATAATCATAGAAAATTTTAATTAGCAAACATTGGTACTTGCCAGGTTTCGAAACCCACATCCATAAATATGGGCCTCTAGCGTGGCTTGAAACTAGTCGAGTATCTCGTCAAACAATTACGTGAGTAAGCCGAAAACATTATAAATAATTTAGTATGTCTCACGAAAGTTATAATAAAATAAAATAATAACTTAGATAAATAAGAAACGTACATTAAGAATAAATTGTTTAAAAAGTACATACTATACATAGTTTGGCATAATAATATTCAAACGATATTTTTGTACTATATTGATAGACTGCACAGTTAGAGCAGTAGCTGGGCTGGCTGCTGTGCAACGTGTCATGGGCTCGATTCCTGCACGGAACAACACTTGTTGTGATCTACAAACTGTTGTTTCGGGTTCGGGTGGCTTATGAATGTGAATTTGTTTGTTTGTAAATGCAACCTCGACACAAAGGTATTTAAAAATGTGAAGGTCGTGAGTCAGGAAAACACACCACAATTCATTCAAATAACTATGATTGTACATAAAAGCTGGAATATTTTATTGACCCCTCATGTCTTCAATCTTCTTAGATGACTGTACTGCACTGCATTTGCCAAGCAGGAATGACTGTTACATAGTTTCTACTAGTTACAGTTATTTAGCTAGACAAAGGCCAAACAGTATGGCAACCTGCTTCTGACCGAGAATTTCGATGTACATAATTATTTTATACATACACATAGCGTCGTGCCCAAAAATTGTACACAAGGTCAACTTACAGCATTGAGCATTATCCACCAGCCTGGCCTTTAGGGGATGCAGAGAAGAATACGTATTGCAGATGCAAGAAGCAAGCAGGAAACCTAATTAAAACGTGAAATTATAAGGAAATAATAATGAATAACGCTTGAACGCAGATTGCTTTCCACTGGTAGATCAGGAAAATACCACAGCCTTCGTTCAGCACTGGACTCACTCTTATGGGTGATAAAATAATGATGGTGACGATTAATCTTATTCGTTGTTTAAATAATAGAGTTCAATATAAAATTCACGTAGGGTTTTCAACTTTTATTTGAAGATTTAGGTTACATCTTTTATCCGATTAGATAAGAGTATCAAGTGTCAAAAAAGAGTAGTCTTTATACCTATAACATTTATACATTGATGTTTTTGCTTTAATCAGCATATAACAATTTATTTGTTTCAATAATGTATAAAAATATTTTAGGCTACTCCACTGTAATTCTAAACAAGTATTCTAATTCTTTATTTTGAGTATGCTGGGCAACCCTAAACCCATAGGTGCAAGCCGCTCTAGCTTCAGTTGTCTCTAGCGTCTATACGTTTCTATCTCAATAGTGCCCGTAAAAATGATAACCTAGTGTTATTTTAAACAGCTGGTATCAACCGGCACAGAAATTTACTTAAGTACACGTTTTAAACAATTTTGTATATCTGTCAATAAATGTCAAGGTGCATGCAGATTGCTTTGAAGTGAGTACATGTTCTAATAACATATAATGTTTACCTGCTCATTCTCGTTCAAAATGTGTAATAAATCACATCTGCATTATGTAAAATTTTTATTTAACACTAGCAACCCGTTCATCGTCTACAGTCTTAATGAAATGTTTCCGTTGCGAGAATTCACTTTGCTTTGTCGGATGGGTACCGTAATTAAATCTGTGGCTAACTTACCAACTGTTATAAGTATACGTTAAAGCATGCAATAAAGTAAGGAGTATTGAACATGTTATGTTATAAAGTTACACACTTTTAACGATCATTTGGGTAACTTACCTAATAAAAAATGAGTCTGAAATTAACTTCTATTTCAATTTAAAAAATTCTAATAAAAGTAAAACAAACATCAAGTTACAGCGATGGATAGTGAAATTGCAGCAATGGACAGTGGGTACCTTTCCTTTAATAGAAATATTTTCAACAGACGTTAATATTGTAATCATCTTTACGGAATATTTGGACTTTCTATAAGATTGTGGTATTCGTTGTCATAATGAACAACTAAATATACCATATCAAACGTTTCAAAAGTACTCACTTCCAACAACTCTGGTTGAGACTAAACGTGAGTCAAACATCATCAAAACTTGAATTTCAACACAGTTTTGATATTGTTTGCCATTTTCAGACTCTCCCATATAAAAGAAAAAGCTAGCAGGCAAGAGGTGAAATCCAACGACGCAAAACCAAGATGTATTTGGTTGAGATTAAGGTTGGTCCGTGAAACCAAAGTATGGATGACAAAACATAGTTTGGAAACAGGGACCAACTTCACTCCCACCGATATCTTGGTAACAAGACAGCTGTCCAGGTGCTTCACTTTTCTTTTGTTCTTCTTTGGTATTTAGATATGGTTTTATGAGATCATGATTTCTACATAACTATAAACACATATAAAAATAATTTAGCGACATCTTACCTTTTTGACCACGTGACCGGCTGACTGCCACACCTATAGTCACGCATGCTGATTACCATCTAGTCCACCTTATTATGTTTAAGCTGTGAATAATACGGTTATTCCGTTTTACTAATTTAAGTTGTATTTAGGCAGAACTAATATGTTATGGTTGAAAGCAAGCGTATTAGGAGAACGTTACTTCATTTAAATACTGTTTGTGTTTGTATTTTCTTATATCCAAATGCTACCAGATGGACAATTAGTAGGCAAAAAAAAAAAAATACGATTGGAACGGATCGTGAGAGAGACTTCAATTGACTACGTGTGTGAAAAAGTAATAAAGGTAGTGTTTCGATAGTTGAGTGTCACATTATTAGTGTTTAGTTAGTTTTTTTTTTATTATTGACATTTTCTGTATTATGTCAAAGCTATTTTTAATTATTGCTTTCTGTCGTGCTTTTTGACTGTTCCATTTAATAGTTTACTTTCTGACAGTTAGAGTATGTATAATGTATAACTCAGAAACACCCGTCACTTTAACTGGTAGTAAACTGACACGTGACTAGAACGGGTCCACTTAAACTGGTATGGTTCTTTCCCTTAAAAGATCACTACAGAATAAACTTACACGGTTCCCACATTATATTAACAAATTTGTAGATTGTCTGGGCTTCAAAAAAGACTGATCGCTTTGTTTCGGCGAGTCCTCTATTATACTAGTAGTTGTTATATTATTATTTTGCTCATATAGTTAAAGTAAGCTGATGCTGCTTTTAGGATTAACCGACATTCTCGAAGTTATTCGCGACCATTAATTATCATCATCATCTGAAAATTGCATTAATTAATTAAAATTATTATACAAACAAAGAAAGCATGATAAAGATTTATCCGATTCTAATAGATTATGATTGCCAATATCACAGTTTACCTGTACAACGTAAAGACATTTTATTACACTTTTATGCCTATTTACAAGTTTAGCTACAATGCCGTAAATTGTTTGTAGTAAAGTAGAAGAGCTTTAAATAAAATTCCACCAGTATTGTTGACTTTAAATTTAAACTATAACAAAAAGAAGATTCGTTCCATCCAACCACCCAGATTTTGCCTTGCACCTGAAATAAAAAGCGGTTTTAACAGTACGTCATCTTAAGGCTTATTTAAAAAAATCGTTTCGTAAAGTTATAATTATATTTTTCAAAATCTTATATTCTTACCCCCTTACTAATAAAGATTTACACACATCTTATAACAGATTCAATACTAATAATCGACATTTGACATTTCTCGGGTATACAGCTGTTATAACCGTGTGTGTCGCCGAATTTATTTACATGCCACGGACTTTAGAAGAACAGGAAGAAGTTATGCTGGGATTCCGTAGAATTTGTGGTTTTAAGAATGTCATAGGCATACACATTGATTGCACACATATTAAAATAAAAAAGGTCGGCGGAGATAGCGCTCAATATTACATAAATAGCAAGGGTGTATATTCCATAAACGTGCAAGTAGTATGCGACTCTAAATTGCAAATAAGAGACATTGTTGCACATTGGAGGGGCAGCACACATGACTCCCGGATTTTCAGAGAAAGTCAAATCCAGAGAATTCCATGGATGATTCTTAGGTGATGCGGGCTGTGGACTAACAAGTTTTTTATTCACACTGGTACAAAACCCTACTAACCCCAAAGAAGAAGAATATAATAAGTCTCATATTCTTACACGAAATACAATAGAAAGATGCTTTGGCGTGTGGAAACAACGATTTCGCTGTTTACTTCATGGTTTTAGCGTTTCTTTAGAGAATGCAAAACTATATATAGTTGCTATAGCAGTTCTACATAACATTGCAACAAAAATGGGGGAAAAATTAGAAATAGTGGAAAATATTCCACATGTCCCTAGACAACCACTACAAAACATGCCCGAAGATAGGACCGGGCACACAGCTAGGCAATTATTCATAAGAACACATTTTTAGTATAATAAGATAAAGAGTAGTACAAACAGTCTTAAAAGTCATTTTTATTTTATTTTTTTATTTAACAATACATTCTCTAATTCTAAATTATATATGCGGATTTCTGTTTCTTTTATTCGCAACTGTGCCTCTCTCAGCTGTAGCTCATGCTCCGCTTTAGCCCATTCATGAATTTCAGTTGCTTGTTTTATTTTAAGAGCATGTTCTGCTTCAATGGTACTTATCAAAACTTGGTCCCTTTTTTTGACGGCATAATTTTGTTGTTCGATCTTTTTTTTAACATGTAGCCTATGGGCTCTATGCTGCCCCGTTTCCAACATCTTCTTATCACTTTTATTTTCTTCTACTTTGTCTGTTAAGGGAGTAATTTGTTGCAAAGTTTAACAGTCACTATCGAATTTGTTGCTATCTACTTCAAATTCCTGTGGTACCATTTCTATTATTTCATTAGTCACAGGATCTGGGCTCATAGGTTTTTCTCCGCCATCACTTTTTTCGCACATCGACTTTTTTTATACTCGGACAGCTTTTTTTAGCATCTATTTTGCAAGTTCGCTACTGTTGCTTTATTTCCACCATTGTTCTATGCCTACTGTTCAATTCGTTGAATCTTTTAGTTATTCCCAACCAAGCACATTGTTTTGATTTATTCGTATTAGTATCGGTATTTTTATTTTCAATGACGTCTACAAATTCTTTTATACAACCACGGAGTAAATCCTAAAAGAGAAAATCGGGTATGAAATAAGAGAAAATCATATTTCACATCATACTCATATCACCTTTGGTTGTTATGCCTTTTCCAATGTATCCCAATTAACGGATCGTTTTCTTTTTAAGGAATTAACCATAATAATATTCTCTTTTTTAATTTCCATTGTTATAACTTATATTCAAAACTACAACAGACATTAACGGTTAATTCAAGTAAATGACAAATATGTAGGTACTCAAATAGACTTTGACATTGAAAGGTATGTTCATAACATCTACATTTTTACTCTAATTTCGCTATAAATTATCGAAAAATAATATTTAAATAATTAATAAAATCCCCGAAACATTGTTGTTATTGTAGTAAACCAGCCACTAATTGATTATTTTAATTTAAATCCCATTATAAAACGAAAGAAATGTGTAGATGTTTTACTGTTCCGTAGTTTCGGAACGGTTTTCTCAATGTTGCTAGTAATCAGCAGCATAGGAAATAAATAGTTATTCAAGATATACCCATTGTTTATCTCTTTCAATAAACAATTATCAGATTGTTAATTAAGTGAATAACCGAACTTTATTAGTAAGACCGTTACAGTCTTACTCATAAAGTTTGGTTACTCACTTGTTTAACACTGATAATTGTTTATTGAAAGAGAGTCATTGTTCTCGCATGTCTGATCTCACACACCGTCCTGGTCTTACATTGATGTTTCCGAATGTATCCTGTAAAATACCACGCTTAATGGATTTATCAATGGCCGCATTGAAATCATGGATGCAATTCCCAAGGCCACCATTGGGAATTCGTTCCTTCCACCTTTTCTTCCTCCACACCAAACGCTTCCTTTTTTTACATCGGATCTAAAGGTTGCCCCTGCTATATATTGGATATCTCCAGGGACTGGCCTGGGATAAAATGGCAAAATCGGCAGTGGGAGGGGTCACAATGCAACAGGACTTCCTTGGGATTGGCCTGGACAACTCCAAAGTTTCGTTATCAAGCTTCTCTGTCAAGTCAGCTATACTTTTAGTGACTCTTTCAACTGACGTGTCAACCTATCGTTGAACTCTCGGTCCATAACAGCTTGTTGCTTGGCTTGATTTGGTTGCAGCTTGAATCGATAGAAGATGGTTATGTTTGTGTTAAATGCCTTTGAATATATTTATTTATGATATACCACGTTCATTCCACGCAAGATACTGAGAAACTGGAGCATCTTACAAATCTCTGCGAGTGTATCCTTAGCTAATACAAAGACCCGTACTTGACCAGCAGCCTACCACCTAATAATTGTCCATAAAATTCTCCATTCTCAAACTTCCTTCTGATTTGATTCTCTCTGGAGCAGCATACATACATGACTTCCTAATTTTGGAAGTCATGTATGCTGCTATTCCAATTTGTTAATGATTCTTATTTGCAATTTAGAATCGCATACTTCTTGCGCGTTTATATACCTTACCTACCTTTCTATTGATGTCTATAAGATAAGTTGGCAAAATCGAATTTTTGGTGTAGGTAATCTTCGTTAAATCAGACGATTATGGTTGAGATTAAACATGGTATACAACATCGAAACATTGTAATTACCACATGATTTGACACTGTAAACCATGTTCATGCTTCACCAATTTATCACAATTATGTTACACCGTATCCAGTAAAATAATTTTGGTGATGAATTTGGTTGAGATTAAAATTTGGTGGACGGACAAATCATGGATAATGTTTGGGAGCATGTTTTTATACTCTCCGGCAAACTCAGTCTCCCCTCTTGACATTATTCAAATTTTTCTTCAAATCTTAGTTAATATAATATAATCCTTCTATTAACACATGTACATATATATTGTAAGGAATCGAACTTCACTCGTCTAGAATTTCATAGATTTCACCAAGTACAAATAATAATTGGATATGGTCAAAACTTATACAATTATAAACTTATTCTTCAAATAATAACTTCTACCACTACTGAAATTTGAAATAGTAATTGCAATTATTCTGTATTTTCGCTACGATCAAAATAATCCTGGTTGGTATTTGAAAGAGAACTAAGTATACATTGCCATTCCATGAAAAACAAAACAAGGATTGAAAGTGTATACTACGTTCTCTGTCGCCAAATTTACCCTTATTAATTTAAAACTGTTACGTTACATTGTCAATATAGGTCATTAGAAAAGAAAAGGTAGCCGTCTAGCACCCTGATTTTTTCAAGATACACATGTTTATAAGTGAAATATAAAGCACGCAGCATTTCAAAACCCTATTACAGATCCAAACTTTAAATTCTATCAATCCGGTATGGGCTTATCATCAAGCTTCCAATTTATTTGACATGTCGTTTTACAAAATGTTTCAGAAAGGGGTTTGAAAATATGTTACAATCAGCTTTTGCCCACGGCGTCGCTCGCGTTAAGAAATATTATTATTAATTAGGTATAGTTTTTGCGGCTTTACTTTTGTCTTGATCTATCTTTAATTTAGGCCCAATCAGTCGAAAATCTAACATGATTTAAACAAACTTTCATCCCCTATTTTATCCCCTTAGAGGTGGAATTTATCAAAATCCTTTCTTAGCGGATGCCTACGTCATAACATCTACCTGCATGCCAAATTTCAGTCCGATCCGTCCAGTGGTTTGGGCTGTGAGTTGATGGATCACTATATCAGTTTGAGTTTTATATATTTAGATAAACTTTAAGTACCTAAAAATTACACTTGATTGTCCTTACGTAAATGACAAAAATGTAACAAGATAACAATAATTGGAATTAATAATTTTATTATAATAAACATATAATAGAAGACATCCCAATTTAAAAATAAAAAAAATAATGCCTTACAAGAATTTACCGAGAAAAGCTCTACCAGTCTCAAGTTACAACGGGACTCATGAGCCTCGAAACTGGTAATACATTTTTCATTATT